TTCGATGTTTTAATGATTGACAAATGATGAAATATTTGTGTTTTAAAAGAAATAAAACCTTTGAATGATTAAAAAAAAAACAACCATTGATTCACCCCCAGCTGTTTATTCATCGATTGTAAAAGAAAGATTCTGGCATCAATCATATATTATTTTTAAAGTATATGTAATTGAGTCCAAATTTCTAGTTGTTTACATATCGAACAAGCATAATGAAATGTTTTTTATTTACACTTTGAACGTAAATTTGAAGTACCTTTATATATTCTAATTTTTCCAGGAACAAGTACCAACAATACATCATTTAATAAGAATTGTTTTTAAGATTATAATACAATGTATATTTTAGTTCTTTCAACAAATATTCTCCCATTATTCTATTCCTATATTATGATAAACAATTCAACCTATTTGGTCATATATTCTTTCACTTCTGCTGCAAATTTCAATAAAGGTTTACATGTTTTAGCAATAAAATGTTCTTATTTCTATACAATTTTATTTCAATGTCAAGTCTTGTTAAAATTATTTTATCTACTGCAATTTAAATTGTATATAAGAAAACCATTGACATGTCTTTCCTTTTATCTTTAGTATTTTTCAAGATTTTATTTTACATTTTTCTTGACAAAAACATAGTATATCAGATATATTTATATTAGTTGAAATTTCTCTTCCATAAAATGCTTCTTAAACTGAAAGCCACAGAGATATTTTGGTTATAATCTACTGAGTTTATATTTGTTCTATATAGTCTCAGTACAGCACATCTAATAAAATTATTTTTAGAATCTACATTAACTTTAGCTTTGTCATTCCATACATATCCATGCCATCCAAAGCTCAAATCATGTTAACTTTCTTTTCATAAAGTAATCTCCCAAGGGATTCTTTCTATAATGCAGGCCAGATGTACCAACAGTGGAGAACTGACCACATCTATGCTAATCTTACAAGGCCTTTACAAAATTGATCTTTATCCTCCATCTCTGGCTGACAACTTAATCTCTATAGTATTACGAGCTGAAAATGTTGCTATTCTTTCTGCATCCTACATGGGGCTGGGTCAAAATCTAAATGTTGGAAATCAGGTCCACAAAAATTTAGGTAGTGGTATTTTCTAAGCAGCATACAAATCACTCTTGGAACGCTAATAGCAACCAAATCAAGCAAGTGAAGGCTTTCAGGTATTTATTTTCAGGCCTCTGCCTCCTCAAAACTCTACTTTTCAAACTTTATGTTACAGGCACTTAAAGCTTTCAATACAGTAACCTGATGTGCAAGCAGTAAAGAGAATAACTATGTGCCTACAGCAATTTAACTATTCAAGGCTAAAATTCTAAATATTTTGCTCTCTAGCTCAGTGTTCTCTATATAAGGATAGCCCTACACTAAAAGCAGTCTAGTCTAAATTCCTTATAAATGCATGTTTTTCTGTTGAAACTAAATAAAGCCTGAAGTGATGTTAAGTAACAGATTTTAGATCTTCATGCGCAAACTAACATAGCGCTAACAACCCACAATTCTGTTTTAATGCCTTTGTTTTATCATTCTCCAAATATTTTAATGTCTTTCTACTTTCACATAAAATGTTGCATCCAGATACCATGCCTTCAGTGAAATCAAAAAGGAAATTGAAAAACATTCCCTATCAAAAGTATTTTTACATTTGTTCATATCTCCACTATTAAGACAAAT